TACCTAATTAGAGGTGAATGCCAATGCATGGAGAAGGGAAGCTACTTCAGAGAAGTACTCAGCGTGCTGTGAATCAAGAGCCCCCATCACCATCACCAGAACAGTGGTGTTTGCAGCGCGAGAGGCCAGGGAACAGCCAGCAGAAGCGCCGTTTTCTCCTTACAGAATCCAAATAAAAAGAGCACACAAAGGAGGGATTTGCTCGTGCTGCCCAAAGCAGCATTAGCTCTCCCTCTATGTTCAGTGACCCCACCACATGGGTCACAATCCACAGATGCTGGCATACAGCCCTTGCCTGCAGAGCCACCAAGAGCCATGCAAGAGACCAGAAAGGAAAACACAGAGTGAATCTCTTCTCCTCCCTTCCCTCCCTCCCTGAGATCTCACATTTTAGATGTCCCAGTCCAGCCAAGCTCATTTTTGTACCTCTCCTAGCCCTCTCCCCCTTTGAAAGGCTTGCTCTTCCCTTCCACAGCCTTTCTTTACCATGTTTGTGTATAGAAGATCATTGTACTATTGTTCATAAAGCGCTAGGAGATAAATGGTGTTATGTAACTGCTAGTTACTGTTTTATCATTTTCAGAATGATGGAAAAGTAAAATGGGAATGTAGACTCCCCTTGGGGCCAGGCCGGGCAAACTAAACTTACAAAACCAAAAGAACATTCACTTCAGCATCTCCAAAACAGAAGAATGGAAGGGTAATGCATTTCAGTACATACTGTCCAGCACAAAATGACAAGCCATTAATAACTGCGGCATATAGGCATGTGTGGAGTGAGACATCTTCTGTCATATAGCTCCCAGTCAAAAGAGTTTACAAAAAAGTGTTGGGTTTTAGGGGTTTTTTTAACATTTGCAATGATTTGCTATTCATTAAACTCTGGTATCTTGTGGCTTTTGATATTCCAAAGAGCTTTTATTCAGCTTGCTTTTCATTCCAGGTCAGCTAACATAAAATCAATAATGGTTTGGACAGATTTTCTTCTTGTAATGAGCCTAAAATTGGCATACATAGTCTAAACTCTCTTCCTGTTTCACATTTATAGGAGCTTTCTCAGTGATTTACTTCTCTCTCTCGTATTCTTTTGTGGCAGAAATTTGCACCAGCATGTTACGAGGCTTCTGCACTGTTCTTATGCCAGGCACAGATACCTGCTGCCTACTGAACTCAATGAAACTTCTTGACACCGAAATCAATTACAGCAAAAGCAGGTTGTCACTGCTGGAAAGTGCAATTACACCCTCATCCAGGCCAAAGTTGCAATTCTTCACGCAGACAATCCCGGTACTCAGACTTAGATCACGTCCAGAGGACTGCTCTGACGAGCAGTGGCTGCAGGAACAGGCACTCTTTCTGTAGTAAGAATCTGGTACTTGTTCCCATGCTCACAAACTGTACCACGTACCTAAACACCTGCACAAAAGTCCAATGGGAACTGATGGCTCTAAGCTTTGAGCAGGGTATGTAGATCATCTTTAAGTAACAATCTCAAAGATCAGTACATCTAAAATACCTACTGAACAATGCTTTACTTAAGCATGTACTTGAAGTTGAGCCCATGCTAAGTGCTTTGCTGAACTGTGATCTAACCATGCTTCTGGTCGTATTACTCAGTGTCTGGCAGCAATCTCTCTCATTAGAAAGCAAATCCTTTACTGCCTTATAAGCCAATATAAATTACGCATCCTTGTAAAGAAGGTGTCAAAGTCGAGTTTGCCTGAACTGTGCTTGACAACTGTTTAGAAAGCCAAGCCAAACAAATATTTTCAACCATATTTTGAGAACAATTAGTTTTCATTTTAATGGAAAGTTCTGTTGTTTTATTATGGGAAACTGCAGCACGTTCAAACTGAAGGTTGAGGAGTGTTTTGACAAGTTTGCATAGAACCCTGTGCAGCAATCAGGGTGTTTTGCTCTCATAGAGCTTGATCTTGATTGGGACAAATCCCACTCTCAGTTATAGCAGGGCACACATACTGGAATCCAGATCTGAATTTTGCAGACTGGCTCCAGTGCAAAGTTAAAAACCCCCAGCACTCTGCAAGACCAAGTCCTGTGGTACCTCTGCAAACACGAAGTAGGGTTCAACAAGCAGTCGTGATCATCTAACAGTTCACTGCCACTGAAGGGTGAGGATTTCACTCCTCCCTGCTTCCTCACTTCCCCACACCACTGACCTTCCTCATCCACTGACCTTCCTCATCCCTTCCTTGCACTGCCTCTGGCTCTCACTTGCTTTCCAATTCACTAATTTGACAGAAAAAAATCTACATTGTTGTTGTTGTTGCTGCTGCATTGGATTTTCTGCCAGATTGGTGAGCTCAAGCAGCTCCTGGAAGAGAAGGCAGCACTGGCACATGTACTTGCACAAGGACAGAAGCAGTTCAGGGTACGCAACAAAAGGGCACATGATGGGAGGAAGAAATCTGAAAAGGAAGGATGAAGACAAGGCCTTTCCTTTCCATCAACAACGGGCTTTTAAGATCAGCTCAACCCATTCCCCATAGCCCCAACCTGCTTTCACCTACAGCAGTTTTACATTGCAATAATTACTGTTATGTAATTCAGATCATTAACATCCAAAACTCCTGGCTATAAGCAGGGTTCCACTGTTAAACAAGAGACTGTATATACACATTGCCCCTGCTCTGAGGAGCTGACAGTTTAATCCTGAACAATGTGCAAATGGAAGAGCAAACTATGGAAGACAAAAGTAGTCAAGAAGGTGAGAGGGGTAGTAGTTAGAGGAAGACACAACCAAAATGTGATCCTGAAGGACTCACTGAATTGTTTGGTACTTACTCAGGTGACTCAGATGGATTTAATCACTGAAAGTAAATCAAAGTACTTGCCTGAGAAAAAAGCTTCACTTTAAGTCTATCAATGATATAGAGCTCAGCACGTGCAACAGGTCATTATACCACTTCTTTGTTTCATTTTAGATTCAGCCTCACCAAAGGGCTCATTCTGCACTTAACTTTGATGCAGAAACTCCCACTAAAACTAAGAGGAGATCTGCCCGAGTCTGGAGTGCAGCTGGACGGGGCACTTTGTCTGTTAGTCTTGTTGCAGACAGTCTCTTAGCATATTACAGCATCATTCCCCATCTAAGTAAAGAAGCAAACCAACCAAGAAACCAACATCTAAAATTAATGTGAAAGATCCTGTTCTCTATTATCAGATTCAATCTCCTTCACTGCTGGGTTTTGGGCTGAGCTCTATGTGACAGTTCTTTACACCAAACATGAAAAATTCTACTTGCTTGGCACTCACCATGCCTGTTTTACTGAACAGGAAGGAAAAAACATTGTGCATTTGGCCATTAGCATTAAACAGCATGGTAAGGAACAGGCAAGCAGAATTTGTGTCTGGACCAGAGAACGTCAAAGCGCTGTTTTGCAAAGCTGATTTAAATTTATCACAGTACATATATCTGAGGTACTTGCATAAATTATAATCCTGATTTTGTATTTACTTAGTTGCATTAGAAAATTTGTTAGAAACAAACCTTGAGTGTTGACAATCAAGATTTCTCTTTCTGCTAGTCTTGCTGTGCCACTGTATGTGGTAAAGGCATGAAACATCCTTCAGCAATAAAACAGAAGTCTGAGGGGAAAAGAGAGATGTCCTTTGCAAGAAAAATGGTAACACAGCTCTTGGTTTTAAAGTAAAGAAGCAACTTTGTGTCAGTCTTCACTAGTAAGCCGTAGAGTGCTGTGTTATCACCATGAAGATAACGTGTCATTTGTCTTTCAACAACTTCTTAACTGTAAAATCCACAGCACTGAAAAGGTTTTGTTTGGAAATCAAAGAAAATGAGGATGTGTTCTGATGAAAGGTGATGCTTTCGGTCTGAGTCCAAGATATAAGCCACGCAATGGTTATTTAAGTAGCACGGCATGCCATGTTAGACTCTTTAAGTGCCGTCCGTTTGAAAAACAGTGAACTGCGTACACAAATGGCATGGATACATCAAGGTGACTGATACACACGCGAAAGTAACCTGGAGTGTACAACGAAAAGAGTTTTGCAGATATTGCACTCATATTCTACTTTGTTACACCTATCCACTCCCTTATGTTTTTGATCTGTTGTGCACTTGGATCGAAACCAGTAACAGCAGACAATATTTTTCTTTCAGTCTCAAAAATATAAGGAAGGTATAAAACTGTAGAACTACAAAAAAGGAAAAAAAAAAAGCTGCACATACATTTTTTTTCAGTGGGGAGAGGAAGCACAGGACTGAATTATTTAGAAATTCTGAAACAGTAAGGTAATTAATAAAATTATTTATAAAGAAATCTATCTACAATATTTAATAATTTAAGGCTCACAATAAGCTAACATATCAATGACAATAAAAGTTTTCTGCTATAGGGTTAAAAGCACCAAATTCACTTCACATACTAGATAACCAGATCTGTACTGATCACAAGTGGAAAACTCTGAAAGTGCTGATCTGCTAATGTTCCTAGTGCTTTAACAACGTTGTATTTCACAGGAATAAGAAATCCCCTTTCAACCATAAATACCGTTATACAGATATAAAATATATTGGAACAATTTCAATTTCAAACTACAGTAGAAAACCCCTAAACCTCCCCCCCGCCCCCAATCCATTCATTCTCCACACACACATCCCCCAACTCTTTAACACTAAACTTGGAGCAACTGAATCGGTTACAAATGATCCATTTAAAATAAACCACCATTCGCTAAAATAAGTTTCTACAAATTAGATTTTGCACTGTCATAATTTACCAGCTCCTGCATCATGGAGCGTAGCTTATTCTTAGTCTATTTTAAAAATAGGTGACCCTTTGTGCCATGGAAAAAGAACATAAAAACATGTATTCCTGGAGGACTACTCAGGACAGTGATCAATTTATAAAATATAGCCTGATTTAAAAAACTAATTGGTACCAAAAGAATAATTATAGTACTAAGTTTCTGACACCAGCAAATCCTTCTGCATCTCTGAACTCTCTCTCCTGTCCTTACAGGTCTGTTTCCCTGTTAGTGTCCAGACAGAGAGCATAGAGGGATTTTCTGAGATCTACGTTACTCTTAGCTTTGATATTGGTTTTCTCTAAGGAGCTGGTGCCGTTGTTGAACCCCTCACTGTTTTCCAAGTGCACAACAGATTTGTTCAGAGAGTTCCTACTGGATCTTCTCTTCATATCTCCCCCCGTTGTGCTGCCCTGAGCACTACTGTGTTCATCTTTGAGGATAGCTTGCTCTTCATGATCAGTCTCTCGGTGGTAGAAGTAGTTGAAGTTGGACACAATGACAGGGACAGGTAGGGCGATGGTGAGCACACCTGCGATGGCACACAAGGAACCCACAATCTTGCCCCCCACGGTGACAGGTCGCATATCCCCATAGCCCACAGTGGTCATGGTTACCACTGCCCACCAGAAAGCATCAGGGATGCTGGAGAAATGAGACTCAGGGTCATCGGCCTCAGCAAAGTAGACAGCGCTGGAGAAGAGGATCACCCCAATAAAGAGGAAGAAGATGAGGAGGCCCAGCTCCCTCATGCTGGCTTTCAAAGTCTGTGCCAAGATCTGCAGACCCTTGGAGTGTCTGGAGAGCTTGAAGATCCTGAAGACTCTGACCAGACGAATGACTCTGAGGATGGCCAGGGACATGGCTTGCTGCTGGCCCCCGCCCCCATTGCTACTGCCACCCCCGGGCTGCTGCTGCTCATGGGCCAGCTCGGTGCCCAGAGTGATGAAGTAGGGGATGATGGCCACGATGTCAATGATGTTCATGATGTTGCGGGAGAACTCGGGCTTGCTGGGGCAGGCGAAGAAGCGGACGAGGAGCTCAAAGGTGAACCAGATCACACAGGTGGTCTCAATGATGAAGAAGGGGTCAGAGAGGCTACTGGGTGGCTGCATGGGTGGGGAGTCCCCGGTCGTGCCATTCAAACCTCCACTTTGTGGGGGCAGTGGCATAGGCATCTCCCTCTCGTCCCTGAATTCCGGCAGGGTCTCCAGGCAGAAGGTGATGATGGAGATGAGGATTACCAGCACGGAGACGATGGCGATAGCCCGGGCTGAGCTGGAGCTCTCAGGGTACTCAAAGA